AAAGTTTTTAATCCTACTTATAAAGGTTGGCCTCGCGCAACAGTTAAGAGCGATATTTATAAATATAAACATGAATATGAACAATATTTGCGGTATTTATTTACTCATATAACTAATCGGATTTCTATTACTACTGATATTGGTAGAAGTAATAATGACTGTGATTATCTAACTGTTACAAGTCATTGGATAGACGAGGAGTGGATAATGCAAAAACGCATTATTGCGTATAGAATAATTAATTCACGTCACACAGGTAAGTTTATTGCTAACACCGTTGCAGATATTTGTAGATATTTTTGCATTAGAGATAAAATAATGGCAATTTCTATGGATAATGCTTCTAGTAACACTAGTGCTATAGGCATACTTACAACAACACTAAATCCTGCATTTAGTAATTGTTTCCATGTGAGATGTATTTGTCACATTTACCATTTAATCGTCGGTGATGGTATGAGAATTTTAAATTTAGAAATTGAAAAGGTTAGAATGGCTCTTAATTGGCTTTTTTATTCAAACCGTAGAAGTAGACTTAGAGAGTATTTTAAAAAATGTGATGAATTTGGCCTTAGAGAAAGAAAGGTTCCTAAACCTTGTCCAACTAGATGGAATTATATGTACGAAAGTTTAGTAGTTGCATATGAATATAGAAACCCAATTAATGCAACGTTTAATGCTCGTGTTGGTGGTGAGGATGATGATGAAATCCTTACAAATCAAGATTGGACGAATGTCAAAATTCTTATAGATTTTTTAGAACATTTTCAAATTGCTACAAATGCATTTTCTGGACAATATTATCCTACTATTTCAAATTGTTTAGTTTATATTGCAGCACTATGTGATTTGTTTGTTGAATTTTCGGAGGGTGGGGAAATTTATCAACTTGCTATAAATGCAATGAAAGAAAAGTTTAAAAAATATTTTTTCCCTATCCCCCCTATTTATGGTGTTGCTGCATTGTTAAATCCTACAATGAAATTAGGAGGTCCTCACTTTTGGTACACAAATATTTATAAGGCTTTAGATCTTTCAGTTGAGGAATTTTCTACACTTGCAGAGGCAAAAGCCTCAATTAAAATAAATGCGCAAACAATTTATAATGCTTACCAACTTGCGTTAGATCATGCTAGGCCAAATATTCCAACCCCTACTTCGTCTAGTTCACAATCATCTAAAAGAGCTGCGGGCCTACAAGCACTTAAATCTTGGACGGAGTTTAGGGGTTCTCAAGGTGATAATTTTGATGAGACTTCACATCTAAATGAGCTTCAAGTTTATTTGTCGCAGGGACTTGAAAAGGAGAATCCAGACGGCACCTTTGATCTTTTGGAATGGTGGAAGACAAGGGAAAAACATTTTCCGGTTCTTGCAAGGATGGCTCGGGATATTTTATCTATTCAAGCTTCAACAGTTGCATCAGAGAGCGCTTTCAGTCAAGCAAGACTTCAAATAGGTGATCATAGAGCGTCTATGAGGGAGAGCTTGGAAAAATCAGTACTATTCAGAGATTGGATCCGCTCGGAAAGAAGAAACTTTGGACTTGCAGAATCACAACCGGAGATAGACGAAGCTTATGAAGAAATGATAGCGGAACTTGCGGAGGATGCTGCTTCGCCCGGAAGCGGTGATGAACAAGCTTCTTTTCCGCCACCACCAACGGAACCTCCTCCGAACCTTGAAGGATTTATGAGATTTGTTAGAGATACAATGTAGATTATGGTGTAACTTGTACTTTGGCATATCTTCTTTAGTTTTTTTTCCTTTTAATGGTGGTATTAGTACCTTGTTGTGCTCATTCCATTGGGGGGAAGAAGACTAAGAAAGATATGCCATTTTTGGTAATAAAAATTATAAAACATACCCTTGGCCTTGAATATCTCTTCGCAATATTTTTTTGTCTTTAACTTGCAATTATTTATAAGGTGGAATATATATACATAACATACAATATATACTACAACAAATTATATAAGGGAATATATATACATAACATATAATATATAGTATACTATACTAGTATACTATATATATTATATTTACATGAAGAAGTAGTACTATATATAATACAAAACAAGATTTTTCAAAATTAGGGCCCCACCCCCAATGACCACCAACGGTCATATTAATTGCACAAATAGCCGTTTTTTTTTTCAATTTACAAAACTAACCTTCTCTAACACTATAAGTACCCCCCTCCCTCTTCTTCATTTCAATACTCAATACTCATTTCTCAATCTAAATTTCTCTCAATCTCTCAATCTCCAATTTTCAAGACTTCAAGTCTCAATCTCAATTTTCAAGTTAAATCATGCCTCGTTCGGAAAGAGTGCGCTTATTTGTTTCGCAATACTATAAAGTGCTTGAAGAAAATGAAGAAGGCCAAATATTAAAGTGCAAGAGCTGTGGAAGAGTCTTAAATTTTCGTTCAGGGTGTACCACAGGCATTTTAAGGAGGCATATAAAGTATTGTGTTGAGGGTATTTATCCGCAAATTCGTCTTTAAGATTTTTCAACAATTTGTATTATTTTAAAATTATTAGACGTATTTATGCTTCATGTTGTACTTTGTTATTAATTTATTATGCATGCCAATTTAGTTTTACTATTGATTTGTTATTTTACATTTTCGTCAAACACTTTAATAATTAGATTTCTATATTATATATACTACATATATTTATATAGCAATGCATAAGAGCAATTTATATATATACATACACATATGGTTTACAAGAAATTGCCTTAAATAAAAAAAAATTAAAAAAAAAAGCCCGGAAATAAAAAAAGCCCTTAGGCCCGCTAAGCCCACGACCCCGGCCCATTTAGCCCAGGACCATATGGGCTTAGGCCCGTCACGGGCTGGTCCTACCCGTTGAGCCCACAAAGCCCGGGACCGCCAGAGCCCGGGACCGCTAAGCCCAGGTCCGTTTAGCCCGGCCCGTTTAACCCATTTAGGCCCGGGCCCGGCCCACCATACAGCCTTAAATGGGGGCGACCAAATAGGGCGCCCCATGCAATTTTTACCTTGTTTAGGACCACAAATTCTAAAAGTCTTTATTATTTCTTAAACTCCGTGCCAGTCAAACATGTTCACTAAATCGGAACGGAGGGAGTAATACTTTTGAACTTCATTCTATTTTTGGATTTTAGGGTTGTTGGTTCCAGAGGCGGATGCAGTGTGATAGTTATGGGTTCAATTGAACCCATAACTTTCGACGCGGAGTAGAAATTTATGTGTAAAAATTCATTAAAATTGCAAAATAATAGATTTGAACCCATAACTTTAAAAATATACTTGGTTCAATGTTAAAAATCTTAAAAGTTGAACCCATAGAGTTTAAATCCTGGATCCGCCTCTGGTTGGTTCAGCATCCTCGTTAAAAAGAGACGCACATAGGCAATTATGTAAAGTTCATTGCCAGTATATATCTTAAAGTAAATTAGTAAATTACTTTATTAGTGCAGAACATGGAATATTTCTTTTTTGAAGTTCATTGCAAGTAGATATATGCATTTGAATTTCTTATTAATATTTATTCGTTAACGTAATGCTTAATTGAGATCTCCGTACTTAAGTTAATACGCTTGAAAGAAATGTGATTATAGAAAAAAGTATGTAATCAAAATTGTGGCTCGTATAAAGATTAAAAATATGGTTTACAACCTAGACAAAATTTTCACTCTTAAAAAATGAAGCCATATGGTACTGGCAAGTGTGGCATGTATAGTAACAAAGGCCATATTTTACAAGTGTTACTTAGGGGCCACTCTTGAAAATGGTGATCTATAAGGTAACAAAGGCCATGCTTGAAAAGTAAAATTATAGGTGTAGCCTATAGTGTTGCCTTAGGGCAGAGGTTATGTGTGTTTAGGTCATTCATGTAAACCGTTGTCTTAGGTCTAAAAGTGCGATTTTCAATCAAAGACCATACTTTTTGATCGTCTTGGCTACACTTTTCACGTGTCGTTAAAGACCTAAAATATTATAGTGTTATCTAGAAATTTTACCAATATATAATTTATAAAATATTTCATATCAAAATATATTCATAGATAAATTTGTATAAAATTCGATCTAACGTGAAAATTTGAACATAAATGTCAAATATTTGTCATCCATAAAATTTTCATATCAAGATGTTCTGTAAATAAATTTGATCAAATCGGTTCTAACGTGAGAATTTTAACAATGTGTCAAAAATCATATTGTTAAACTTTTTATATACATACTTTATTGATATTGACATAGTATATCCCACTATATTATATCTTAGCTAGTGATTGGAGTCTATTGTCAAGCAAAAAAAAAAAAACTAATAGAGGTTCAAAGTTCGACGGAAATTTTCTAGGTCACATTTATTAATATTCCATGAAATAATTTTACGAATTATTTCGTGGAATATCAATAGATGCGACCTAGAAGATTCATTGGAAATGTTATAGTTGATTTTCTAGAGCAATACGAGCCTCATTTAGTTATATTACAAGAATCTAATGCAGACATTCCATGAAAAACTAGCATTCAAAATGACCACTCGACGATAAACATTTTAGAGAATTTTAAGGATAACTTTTTTAAAGAGTTCTATTTTTTGTAGACATGTAAAGAATTTTTATAATAAAGTTGACCTACAACATAACTCTCCATATAAAACTTGATATAATAATTTGAAAAATAGAGTACAAAACCCTTTTTTGTTGAATTTAATAGTTTATAAACAGTTCGCATGCCTTAGCTAGAAGACTTGGAAATAAAACTTACATAGGCAAGTATAGTTTTAATGATCTAAACGGATATTTTTTCGCATTTCTCCTTAATCAAATAAACTTCCTAGGTTTCGCAAACCAAATGGAGTCAAATATAAAAACGCTTTCGTCTTGTCTAACTGTCGCATTTAAAACCCCTATTTTGCTTCATTTTCAGAAATCCCAAACTAATATATTATGAAAAATTAGGAAGCAGGTAATGCGACAGTTTACTCTACATATTCAGATTAAAAACTAATATCGTCTGCCTTCAGTAATGTAGAAATTAACTTGTTCAACGAATACAACAAATACTATGCCTCAGTGTTTAGCAAGTTGGAGTGTGATATATGAATCCCCAATCACCATGTTTTCCATTTCAATTCATCCTAGGCCAACATTAATACAAAATTTAAAAAAAAAAAAAATAAAAAGTACTAGAAGCTACACCCATTTTTTTTAATTGTTTTTTTACAATTAATACAAAATTCTTTTTACATTAGAAGAACAGAACTTGAAAAAATTGATCACGTAACAGCAAACATCCTTGTCAATGTTTCTTCTTGGGGCTTAGTGTTCTGGAAGTGGTAGCTGTGCTTGACATATCCTTAAATGCCGATGGGCAGAATTGACTTACTGTACATTTTGCACAGCGAGGTCTCAGAGGAGTACATATGCTCTGTCCAAAGCCTACCTGTAAAGGCCATTGCCACAAAACTGAAGTGACAAATAACCAGAGAGGGAGGCAGATGTAGAGTGTAAATTATGGGTCCATGATTCATCCGAACGCAGTGGCTTTGACTTGGATCCCGTAATTCACTAAATAAATATAAATAATTGATTTCATAACTAGAAACTCAAATGGATTGTAGTAGAATTCAGAAGTCGAACTCAAAAAGTTCAAATTGTGGATCCGCCTATGAGAGAGAGGAGAGAAAGTTCATACCTGTCCATACTTTGACTAGTCGAATATTGGAGGCAAAGTTAGTTTTTGAAAATTTTGTAGTAAAAGTAAGATAAATTGTTACCTTTTTGACTAATGAATATTGAGAAACATTGAAGACCAGAAAAATAGTTTCTCTTCTAGGGATGGATATGATTATTGGGTAATCCAATACAGGAAGTATGACATACAATATTTTTTATTAATGTCGACGTGGATGGGAAGATGGGCATGAAACTGAATCAAGGGATAACTCAAAAGATTTCAATCTATTGCCTATTTCCACCTATTGAGTGCAGGTCCAGAGACACCTCAAAAGCTGAAGCATAAACATTACTCCAGCTCTAGGTTGCAAATCATACTTTTTGAGAAATTTGAGACTGATCAAGCATTCATATAGTCGGCTTTCATAATTACGTAGTGCAACTGATAGCAAAAGAAAAAGAGCATTTTGTGTTGCTAGCGCTCCAAATAGAGAATCTAAAATGAAGTTCTAGGTGTCAGCTGAATATATACCAAAGAAGCAATAAGCACACATTTCACATTGACTCTTGAATTGGATGATTGAACGAAGGTGAAAATTAAGATGTACTTGAGCTACAACAGTAAGGACCAAAAGAGATGGGAAGGGGAATAATCAACGATATTTCAGAGAAAGAATGATGCAGAGACGTACCAATAGCAAATTAATAGAAACCCATTCTTCTTTAGGAAGCCACTGCTGCAAGGAGACCCTAGTCTCTTCAGGGGATCTAGTTCCCTGACAGAGTCAAACAAGAATTGAGTGCTTTGAGTATTTTCCTATAATTGTTAATAGTTTCAATCTAAACATATCGTCATTATGAATCCTTGCTTCAGACTCAGTTGGGAACGGTGATGTTTGAAATCAGAAATAGCTGTTAAATGTATACTGAAAAGTAAAGAAACCTACACCAAAATGTGGTTCTAAACAAAAGATATCAATATTATATACAAATAGGGATCTCATCAGTAAGATAGACACAAGGGGTCTATTTTTCAACTTTATAAAGTCATTATCAACCCCGTCAAATGCTCTCCTATTTCTCTTTTCATAATCCACACAAGGGCTAATGGAGTAATGTCCTACGCCCTCGGTCATCTCTTCCTTCTTCTGTAAGCCCAACTAAACAACACGTCTTCCAGTGTACTTGGCATCACCCACTGTATTTCCAGCCAATTCAGATGTACCAACCAAAATTCACAGCCACCTAACAATGTAATAGGAAATGGTCTACGTCTTCACCAAACATCTGCACATGAAGCACCAGCTAATATGGTCATCATCCTCCTCCTCAAGTTCTTCGCTGTCAGTATTACTCCCCTTGCTGCCAACCACACGAAGAAACACACCTTCCTGTGTGCCGTGCGAACCCAAATAGAAGGGTATGGGAAGGTCAACTCCTCCCTAACTAACTAACTCTTGAAATAAGACTTAATTGTAAATAAGCTGTCCCTATTCTATTCCCATCTCCATAAAGCCGATGTAGCATGTGGTACCCTCTGTCCATACAGTAAATCAACCAAGTTTTAAAATTCATCCATCTCCCGATCCTAGAGGTTCTTCCTAAATCTCAAATCTGCGGTTAATAATAATTTTGACCATCTCACTTGGTGATGGAAGTTTACCCATGTTGTAGTGGCACAATCATCTAACTAGTCGTGCCTTCTCCGATTCAGTCAGTGGGCTAATCTGTTCGGCCAAACAGTCATTTTTTCTTTAATCTTGCAAATTCAAGTTGATCCAAGGCTCTTTCATTCTCAGACCGATCCCCTGGATCTTCTGGCTCCTCCCTTTGAGCTCAAATAAGACATTCTTTTCGTCGAGTGACTTGTTCCCGGTCTTCCTATTTCCTTCGCGTTCCCAGCTGCTGCCTCTAAGGCCCAAGCCAATGAAGTTCGTTCCTGGTCTTCCTACATATGTTTTACACTTACCTTTCTAAAATGTTACTAGTATAATTTTAGCAGGCTATAACTAAACTAGACAAAACGAATTAGTTTAAAAAATTTGTGCACATATAACATAGCGCATGCCCCCAATTTCTAGTTGCTCATTATAGCAGTGAAGCCTCGTCTTCGAATAGAATTAAGCATACCTGCTTTTTTCCAGGCTGCGAGACCCATCCAAGCCGATTACTAACACGATGCACGTGGGTATCTACGCAAATCCCTTCAACTTTGTTCCATGCCATAATCATAACCTAAAGGAAAAGCTATTTAAATAACTTAGGAATGTGCAGTGAAAGGAAAATGAGAGAAGCATAATATCCTACCAGGTGAGCTATCTTGGGACCAACACCTGGAAGTAGAAGCAACTCGTCCACTGTACTAGGAATGTCTCCATCATATTTAGAGACACAAATCTCTGCGACTTGTTTAAGGTGCCGAGCCTTTCTTGTGTAAAATCCAACCTGATCAACAAAATTGTTAAGTAACTCTGCATAAGAGGAACTGACAAAAATTTAGTTGGCACTAACGCGAATACAATAGTATCATAAACAGACATCATTGAGCACATACCGGGTATATCAAGCTCTTTATGGTGACTTCATCAGCTTTATCCATTGAGTCAGCACTCAGCAAACCATTTTCGAGGAGCCGCTGATTTGCTTCTGCAGATTCAGAGGACAACATTATATACCAATAGGAAGCCAGAGAAGAATATCACAACCTCATAAAATGTGGGACACTTTCAATGAAACAGATTAATGTTTGACTTCAAGCAATCATCTCATCAAAAGGTGGATGTGCGAGAGTAATCTCAACACTTGCCATGTGTAACATGACCCTTGGTCTGGCTTGATAACAATGAACCAACCAGAACAGCAAATCTTCTTTCCTGATGAGATTGTGAACAGAAAAAATGAAGAAGAAAACAGTAATCAACATCAACCATCCACATCTATCCAGCAACTACAAAATAACTAAGTTGAAAAGATAACAATGTATAGTATCCTTTTAGACACGTTAAAATATTATACGTGCTTACTCATAAAAAAGGTAAAAGGACACTTTTCGTTCTCAACTTATTCTTTTATATGAGTACTCGGTTCTAGATATCCTAATCAAGAAGACAACCACTAACCAAGCATCAGGTTTGCAAAGATGGATGCACCTTAGGTTGAAGAGAAGTCACTCCTTCATCCGGGTCAATGGAGTCCACAGGTGCATGTTCTGATGATCTCATTCTGCGTATCCCTTCAATGACCCTTTCCCAGTTGGCAGGAGGTTGTACTGCATCAAATTTGCCAAAATATTTAGTCTTACTAACTCTACGGAACCTATCCATAAGGTATGTTAAACCAGAGAACTCCACAATAACAAAAAAAAAGTTGCAAATAAATAAGAGATCGAAGTCCTTTTTCTTTCAAATGGGTATAAAGACAATGTGCAAACTGGTAATACAGGCAAAAAAAGCTTTCAAAGAAGAAAAGAATCTTGAGGATAGTGAATGATTTATGCTCATGATAATAAATCTTAAGGCAAAAAAGAACAAAAAACAAAGAGGAGAAAGAGAGTGAAAAGGCAATATAAATCTACAACGCTCATGTAGTTCTCCATGAAGGATTTGGTAAAGCCACGCTATTTTGCTCATACAGCCGCAGGTATAAGTAAGACGTGACGCGCTTGTCTTGTCAAAACACAATATCACTTATAATCATCATATATATATATAGAGTTTCCAGGTGATATCATATCTCTGCTTGCCGGCCCACCAACTTCTAATGCTCACTTCTATATTTGCCATCCTTGGAATACAAACTATAGGAAGAGATTATGAGCCAGCTAAAAAGCCACCTCACCTTAACCAAAATCCATTATGAGAGAATTAGTCTAACAACCTCTCTGTGTTTTCTTAGACCTGAAGGAGGTCAATGGACTAGTCTTTAAGCATAAGGTGGTAATCAAAAGGTTTTAGATTTGTTAGATAGAACATGAGTACATGATATGCATTGAACTAAATGGAAGTAACATAATCGACAGCATTCTACCTTTCTATATGGAGATATATCTAACAAATAAATGTGCAAAGTTCCATATTAATATGAAAACTAAAAAAACAAAAAACAAGGAATCGCGAATCTCACTTGATTGAGAATAAATATTGCCACTTTTATTTGCAAGATCTTCAATTTCTGGATGCCTGAGAAACTGCAACAAGTTAAAGAAAAGCATGATTTGTTTTCCCTCTCGCAACCTCAAGAAGTAATGATCATATAGTATTTCATAACTAAAAATAGCCTGTGAAGTACATAGAAAACAGAAAAATATCCTCTTCCACAAAATGGACTTCCCAGTTTTAAGCGTATAACAAGATCATCTTTGACTTAAACTTTGTAATAACTAATTCAATATAAGTAATGTGCTTAATCACTCTCAGATAGGTGAATCAGATCTTTCGGAAGCAAAATCGGACAATCAAATTGGATTGAGAGTACAATTAAATTGTCTGATGAAATGGAGCTAAATGCCATATCCCTGAACTTATTAATCCAGGTGCAAGGAAAAGCCTGCTATATTTCATATATATTTCATGCTATCTTTTTTAAAAACAGAATCCAGAAAGAAGCTCAGATACATTAAACCCTAACAGTTTTAGCAAGTAGGTTCTAAAAATGCTCTATTTTACTCTATGATACATGGGCGCGATAGCGGACATGCATACTATACGGGTAGGTTCACTTTCTTTTTACATTTTTAATGTATCTTGTAGGATCCACATAAAGTTCTGATACCTACTTCAAACCCTTTCAATAGCAACGTCAATATGACTGCATAAAGATAGAATGACAAGATATAGGTATGTCAAGGAAAGATGAAGGGACCTTGTAACAAAGCCTTCACTAGTATTGTTTTCTTAGTCAATTATGAAAAATCTTCAACCTGAAGATTTCTGAATTATCCATCAGTATTGACCACTGTCTACGGCTACGCCACTAGCATAAGCTTCTATATAGACTGATACTAGGCAGAAACAAGATATCAAGTTGACAAAGCAGAGAATTTCCAGTCCTCGAGGACAAGTACTTGGAGATATCATAACTTCTTTGTTGAGTCCATTACTCAAATGGTCACTCAACTATCCCAAATTATCTACTAAAGTTACTTTTCTTTCTTTTGTAACAATAAAGTCACTTAACTATGCCTATAGCACTCAGAAGGTCATTCAACTAGATTTTCCAAATTTTGGATTGCCAAATACCTATTTTACCCTCTAAATCATAAATATTTATCTTCTTTTTATTTTTTTTTGCTTTTTAATATTATAATTTTCCCTTTTTAATTTATATTATGGACTTATCTATATAATAAATAAATTTTATTTATAAATTAAGAAAATAAAAAGTATTTAAGCATATATAATGCTGGAATAACAATATAATGAGCATTGTAAAAGAATTAATTAGAACAATTTGTTCGTAATAATTTTAGTATTAACAACAAAAATTCAAAAATTTATTTACACAATTGAGAATGAAAGAAAATAAAGGTTATAAAATATATATTCCATATACGTAATATAAAAATAATTATTAAAATAAAGATATTTTTATAATATACATTATATATTCTAGAAAATTATGCTCAATTATATTATTATTCCGTCATTACATGAGCTGAAAACTAATTTTTTATTTTTTATTTTATAAATAAAATAAATTTATTCTATAGGTAAGTCCACAATGTAGATTAAAAAGAGAAAAAAATTATAATATTTAAAAAGTTAAAAAAAAATGATAATTTAGAAGGTAAAATAGGTATTTGACAATCAAAAATTTGGAAAACCTAGTTGAGTGACATTTTGAGTGCTATAGGCATAGTTAAGTGACTTTGTTGTTACAAACGAAAGAAAAGTGATTTTAACATATAATTTGGGATAGTTGAGTGACCATTTGAGTAATGGACTCCTTTGTTCTAAAGTGCAGACTGGCTTGTATCAACAGAGGTTACAATTATCGCCAAGAATATTCTATAGTTATATTACACACTCTAAATATTTCTCCTCAAATTCACAACCCTTTTGAGGGAATAAAAATTTACTCTTTTCTATAACCAACGGATTAAGAATCAATCGAAAGCAGTGAGTCCTTCATATGAATACTCAACTAAATTGTACCAATTCAAGAATTTCCAACAAGAGAGCCACTAAATGGTTAACTCACTTGATCTCTAAGCAACATAACGCAGTCGCAAGAGTACTAACATTTAGGAGCTTAAGTTCTATGCACGATGGTGTAAAAATTATTTACACAATCAGATCACTTTAAAAGGTAATTACATGTTAACCTATTCAATAACATGATTTGTCACCTAGCATGAATGACAAGTAAGCAATTACAACAGGTTAAATTACAATGATGGTGTAAGAAATTCAGTACACTATCAATGTATTTAACCTAAATTCTTTTTAATAAATATTCTTAATCCACTTCAGAGCAGCTCCCATTGAAACTAAATTTTCTTTCACCAAAAACATGGGGAAAAAAAAAACAAACATCATTATGAAATAAAACCTTAATGATAAAAGAATGATCATTATCTTACTTTTTCATCAGGAGATTCTGTCTTAACCTCTTTGGCTAACATTTCCCCTCTCCTTTTTCTCACTCTGTTAGGTACAACACCACCAACTTCAGAACCTAAAATTAAACAAATTTTGTTGATTAGATAAACCCTTCATTCCAAAAAGACATATAAGTAAAAGAAAATAAAAAGCTCTTCTAAATTTATGAGGCAAAAAGAAACACACATTTAAGCTGAATTTTTTGTGCACCTGGGTTTTGTTGCATTGTTGAGAGACGTGTTTTTGGCATTTTGGTTGAAGAAATGAAATATCGAATTGGGAATGGAACTGTAGAGGTGAGATATGGAGTGTGTCGGAGAAGAGAGGGGGACATTTTTGGAGGGACTTTACTGGCGAGAGTTTAAGCCACGTCTCTTTAACTTGAAATGTTAACAACTTGGAACTTGGCATTATTTAGGTCGCACTTTTTGGTATCAAATGCCCAAAAGTAAACCAAGATTAACTAGGAACCATAAATGATCTAGGATTTGAAATTTACTAGAATATTTTATTAACTTCACATCTAATTAGGTTTTACTATCAAAACTATATTGGAATAGGTTTTATAATAAGTTAAATTTGGTTTTGTAATATTTTTTTTTTATGCAGAGAGATTCGATAGTAAAAAAGCCTCTTACACCATTTTCTCTCTAGCTTGATAAGTTACTTCTATACAACATTTATTGAATTTTTTCATGTGTGCCTAAATTGTTCTTTGAGGTATTTAAGCCCTTCAAATTAGTATTAGAGCATGTGTAAGATAGTATCATAGTCTGTTTGAGACCCTATAAATATAATTAAAAAAATATGGATACTGAACGAGTATGAGAGAAGAGAGGGGGAAGGACAAGGGGTATTAACTAGGAGAAAGATTAAGAAAAAGTTAAGGAGATGTCGAGAGACAAAAATAGAGGCAAACGTAGGCAGCAAGATAGAGGTCATGATAAGAGTAAGGATAAGCGAAAGGATGATATGCAAAGAGTAGATGATGAAGATTCGGATTATCATGATGTGACAAAGAAAGAAATTATTTCTTACGAAGATGATGATACAACACAAAACAATGCAGTTGCAAAAGCTGGATCACAATCTTCTGCTTTAGAACTAGAGGAACATATGTTGAAGATGAAGAAAGAAACAAAGGTGGAAGAGAAAATCAAAAGGTGCTTCTAAGGTGTTGGCATGGGTTAGCAAGAGCCGTAAGATTGAGGAGAAAAGGAATGCCGAGAAATAGAGAGCCTTGTAGCTTTCAAAGATTTTTTATCAGCGGGAAGAAAGCGATGAGAAGGAGAAAAATTGGTTAAGTGCAAAATATCTATGTGAGATGAAAGTACTCCATGGACTTGACAAAGTAGTTGAGGGTGGAGCAATTGTCTTGACACTCAAACATCAGAACATACTTGCGGGTGATGATATTAATCAAGAGGTTGATCTGCTTGAAAATGTGAAAAATGGAGAACAAAAGAAGAGGGATGACATCTACAAGGCTGCAATAAAGAAAACAGGAATCTACGATGACAAGTTCAATGATCAACCTGGCTTTAAGAGAAAAATATTACCACAATATGATGACCCTACTGAAGAGGAAGGCGTACTCTTGATGCAACTGGAGGATTCAGTGTTGACTCACAGAAGAAAATTAAGGAGCTCCAGAAAAGAAATTAGGTGTCTTTCTCAAAAGATCTAGCTAAAGATCTCAATTCTTCTAGAAAGTTATTGTTTGACCACTATACCCAAGAGGAAATGCTTCAATTTAAGAAGCCTAAAAAAATCACTAAGGAAGAAAGAGAAGATGGACCTAGATACTCTTGAAGCGGAGGTCAAATTCGCTGGATTGAGTGCTAGTGATCTTGGTTTTCGCTATGATAAGACAAGGTAGGCCCTTAGGATGGAAAGGAGAGAGTAGAGACAAGGACCAAGTCTTACCAAGGTGCTTATGCCAAGGCTGAATAGATATCTAAAGCGCTTCGACCCAAGAAAACTAATAATAACCAGACAGAGAAAGATGATATAATATTGCCATGACCCGAAATTCCCACCGTTGGGACCATGATGGCGCCTAACATTTCACTTGCTAGGCAAGCTAACATTAGAAGTCATTAAGCCAAATTCTTAAACCTTTTAGTGATTAACAACAATTAAGAAATAACAAGTTAAAAAGAGTGAGGAAAACTATAACAATCTCAATGTTTTTACACAATTACCTAGAATCTGGAGTCACAATTTACGAACTTCTAAGATTAACTACAAGTAATTTGTCTGAAGGAAATACAACTATTTTCGATACAAATAAAAACAGTAAAGAGAATGTATAGAAGGGGACGCCAGGGCATGCAGACACCAACATGGCTACCTTGGGTTTTCGATCAGATGAAGCCAACAGCTAAACTCAGGATCAACTTGGTCCAGTACCAAAATCTGCACAGAAAGTGCAAAGTGCAGTATCGGTACAACCGACCCCATGTACTGGTAAGTGTTAAGTCTAACCTTGGCGATGTAGTAACGAGGCTAAGACAATACACCCATAAATAAACATGTGCAGTACAACAATATATACCATAGCAATGATAAAAGAAACAAGACAAGTAATATTGGGAGGGGGCATGCTGAGGGGATTACAAGATAAAGGATCACAACACAATTAAGAACTTTGATCAACCGATATGATTAAAACAGATAAAGACCAATAACCACAGCAAAAGAAAGTACATCGCATCACTCTTCGTGCTTTTCTCTCAACCTCACCATATGAATCAAATAGAAACGGCACGGCATCACCCTTCGTGCATTAACTCTCTCATAACATAGTACGACATCCTCCTTCATGCATTAACACTCACAATATGGCACGCCATCACCCGTCTTGCATTAACACTGACAAAACATGGCACGACATTACCCTTCGTGCATTAACACTCTCCCTCACCAAAACAAGGAACAACAATAATAGGGAGATAGAAATATCAATAACAAGTCTTACTTCAACGTTTAGTTCCACAAGACTAACCTCAACTTGGAACCAATACTCAATCAATATCAAAATCCGTAAATATGATAAGAATGATCAATATAACGATACAACTAGTCTAAGCATGAATAATATGATCACGGAAAGCTAAATTTTCATTAATAAGACTCACTCACATGCTATGACTCGACAACAACGTATAGGTAATCGTCACCTCACCTATACATTGTACTCAACATTCAAACACGTAGCAAATAGGCAAATAAGACCTAATCCCTCAAGCCAAGGTTAACCACGACACTTACCTCGCCCCAACGGCCAAACTCAAAGCTCAACCACAACGTTTCCCTTCAAACAAGCCTCCAGACCAATAGAATCTAGAAAATTACCAACCAAACGATTCAATTTAAGCATTAGGAACTACCCTCGACTGCAAAGAATTCAATTTAGGTTTTTTTTAAAGTCAACACCTGGGCCCGCTTGATCCGAACCCGAAATTCGGACCAAAACCCGATTGCCCATTCACCCCCGAGCCTGGATATATAATCGGTTTTGGAATCCGACCTCAATTTAAGGTCTAAATCCCCAATTTTTGAAATCTCTAGTTTCTACCCAAAAACTCCTGATTCCACCATGAAAACCTTAGATTCTAGATTGAAATCTTGTAAAATATAGTGAAATATTGAAAGAAACTAGTTTAGAATCACTTAAATATGATTTTGGGAAGAAAAGTTCTTTAGAAAATCGCCTATTGTGTTTTAAGTTTTGAAAATTTGAAGAAAGGGAGAAAAATCATGTCCAAAAATCATTTTGATCAGTTGCAGGTGTCGCATTTGCGACCGAGGATTCGCAGACATGGAGAACCTATCGCAAATGCGAAGGTCTCCTTATTCCTTCTTGCATCGCAAATGCGAAGGAAATCTCGCAAATGCGAGCTTGACCCTTTCCGCAAATGCGACCATGTGATCTCAAATGCGATCATTGCCTTCCCCCGTCCCAGTTCGCAAATGCGAAAATGTGCTTGCAAATGCGAAAAACTATAAGGCCTAGCTATTCTTCGCAAATGCGAGAAATATCTCGCAAATGCGGAATCTGCAGAGGTCGCAAATGCGATACCTGGTCTCGCATTTGCGAGATCAGAGGGCTACACCAGCAACTGAAACACTAGTAATGTTCTAAGTCCTATTTTCACTCTGCAGCCTACCCGAAACTCACCCGAGCCCTAGGGGAACCAAACCAAACATGCACACAAGTCTTAATTTCTAGAACTACGAATTTAGCACCAAATCGAATGAAATTTTCAAAAAAACTTTGAAACTTCTAATTTCTCAACCGGATGTCTGAATCACGTCAAATCAATTCTGTTTCTCACCAAATTTCACAGATAAGTCATAAATATTATATTGGACATGTACCAGGCTCCGGAACCAAAATATGGACCCGGTATCAACAAGGCCGAACATAAATCAATTTTTAGAAACCATTAGATTTTCAGACTTTTAATTTGAGATAAAAATCCAACTCAAGCTAGGGACCTCCAAATTCGATTTCGAGCATACGCCCAGGTCCCATATTTCATTACGGACCCACCAAGACCGTCAAAACACGGGTCTGGGTCCGGGTCCATTTACTCAATTTATTGACCGAAGTCAACCAAAATTAACTTTTAAGGCAAAATTTCTTGTTTTTATCAGTTTTTAGCATATAAACCTTCCAGGCCAATACTCGAACTACGCACGCAAATCAAGGAAGACTAGAATGAGGTTCTAAAGGCTTTGAAACACAGAGTTTAGTTCTAAATCATAAGATGACCTATCGGGTCATCACATTCTCCACCTCTAAAATAACCGTTCGTCCTCGAACGGACATAGAAAAGTAACTGAGCTGGTGAAAATATGGGGATATCTACTCCGCATATCGGACTCATACTCCTAGGTAGCTGTCTCAACAGGCTGACCTCTCCACTGCACTCGAACTGAAGGATAACTCTTCGATCTCAACTGAGAACCTGCTGGTCTAGAATAGCTACCGGCTCCTCCTCGAAGGTCAAATCCTTGTCCAGCTGGACAGTGTTGAAGTCTAACACATGGGATGGATCATCGTGATACTTCCGAAGCATGGACACATGAAACACTGGATGGACTGTTGATAAACCAGGTGGCAACGCAAGTCTGTAGGCCACGTCTCCCACTCGCTCAAGGATCTCAAAAGGCCCAATATACCTAGGGATCAACTTGCCCTTCTTTCCAAACCTCATTACACCCTTCATAGGTGATACCCGAAGCAACACTCTTTCTCCGACCATGAATGCAACATCACGAACTCATCGGTCGGCATAACTCTTTTGCTTGGACTGAGCTATTCGAAGTCGATCCTGAATCATCTTGACCTTATCCAAGGCATCCTGTACTAACTCTGTACC